ACGCCGGCAGGGCTGTGCCCGCCACGCCTCCCCCTGCCTCACCTCCTTGTAGAGATGAATGGCCGGGTCATTCCCGCTCAGGAGAAACACGGTCTCCAGCCGATCCCCGACCTGGACCCTGAAAGCAGAGACATCTAGGATCCCAGTGTGGCAGAGCCCGAGAGTGGCAGAGTCTGTGCAAAACCTCTGCCTGCAAGAACCCTAACGTTGTGGGATCCAGACACTGGAGCCAGGGCCAGAACCTCAGGATGCGGAACTATAGAAAGTTAGCATGCGAGAACCTCCCATTTCTAGAGCTCTCATCTGCTAGAGTCTTCATTCCGGTAGAAATCCTATATAATAAAAGGCTAATATGCAAATTGTCCCTACTGGGGAGTTTGACCAACTGGGAGTTAGATGTGCGCTGGCCACCAGGGGGCGGCGCAGAACATGGTGGGCGTTGGCGATGCGGCAGTGGAGGCACTGCCCGCCCCGATGGGCCCCAACGAGAGCGGGACTGTGGCGAGATGGTGGAGCAGGTGAGCAAGTGTTGCCAGGCCAAGGCGGCAGGCAGCCAGGGGAAGGGAGGCCCTGGCCGGCAGCCGTGAGGGACCCTACCAGTGCACAAATTTCGTGCACTGGGCCTCTAGTGTAATATAAAGCTCTAGAGTGGGTTGCAGGAGCCCAGGACACTAGAATCTCTTTCTCTAGAACTAGTTCTGTTCTCTGTCTCCTTTAAATTACTAGGCCTTGAATAAACTGCCACCAAGGATATTCAGACACAGAATGGTAGAACATCCAGATCCTAGAATCCAGAAAATCAGTTTCTAGAACTCTCACCTGCTAGAGCAGAGGCTGGAAAACTATGACTCCACAGGTCAAATCCAACCTACCATCTGTTTTTATAAATAAAGTTTTATTGAAGCACAGTCTCATGTCCACTCATTTACATAGTCAATGGCTGGCTTCTTGCTATAACAACAGACAGTAGTTGTGACAGAGACGGTCTGGCCCTTAAAAGCCTAATCTTTACCGTATTTGCCGCCTGGGCCTTTACAGAAAAAGTTTGCTAGCACCTGTGCCAGACCATTGGTGTCTAGGATGGAATCCAGAGCTCTAGAATGGAATTCTCATAGTGTGGGATTCTAGAACCTCAGTATTCTAGATGCTCTGTAGGATTGCTCCTTGAAATAGGACAGTGTTAGGACTTTATCATGACAGAACCTCAGAATTATCAAACTATAGTACTTTTGGTTCCTGGAATCTCAGAGCTTGCAACTCTAGAAAATACCATTTCTAGCTCTTGGAATATCCAAATCTAGAAACTGAGGACCCAAGAACCTGAGAATTCTAGATATCTAGAACACGGGTGCTCAATGAATTCTGATGATCTAGTTTGGTGACAACAAAATGGTAGCCCATCAACCACGCGTCTGGTCCACGGACACCTTAAACGCACGATGCTCTTAAAAAACAGAACTAGAATGTGATTACCTAGGGGCAGGTTTGTGGTCTCCTTTGCTAAGCCCCTCCCCTGCCGGTACACCCGCACCCTATTGTACCCCACCCCAGGCTTACTCACTCGGCATGGCACAGCTGGAAAGGAGTGAACCGGAGTTCCAGGTTCAGGCAGCTCTCTGCAGGGGGAGCACAGGTAGATGGGCACGAGGGACCTACAGGCGCCCTCCCCGCCCTCTCCCTCCCTCCAGGCCACACTTACGGGCAATGGAGTCGAGGTTGTACTCAGAGCCAGGCTCATAGTCACAGTAAATGTTAAGGAAGGGGCTGCCTTTGTCCCCTGAATCCTGTGGAAGGAAACTGGCCTCAGGGGAGAGTAGGGCTGGCAGGAGGGATTTGGGTCAGATTCAGTGGGATGCACATGTGTGTAAGGAGGAGGGAACGGGTAGGTGGGGGGGGCTCTGGGTACCTTGATGAACGTGATCCCCACAACCAGGCCCCGCTTTGGGGGCGACTTGTTGAAAGTGTCGATGGAGACAATCTCGGCATCCACTGGGAGGGGATAGTTCAAAGTTCAAGTTTCAGGCAATACCTCCAATCATAGTCACCCCTGACCTCTAGGACTCCATAACCTTTAACCACTGCAATGATCGTGATCTCTGAATCCTATTGAGTCCTGATCACCATCATCATGGGAGCAGAGATCCTGAATCCTAACCACTTCCAGGCTCCTATTATCCCTGCCCTCTGACCCCAACGCCTCCTGATTATCAGCTCCGACCCCCTTCAATCACCCTGGTCCCATTTTCCCATCATAGCGATCCGGCTCAGACAGAGCCTCAGAAGCCTTCTCAACACCATCTTCCCGGCCCTCCGGCCCCACAGCGCCACGCACCGGGTATGTAATTGAACTGCAGCTCCTTGGCCACCGGCCGGATTTTCTGTCGGAGGTCCTGGTAGCGGAAGCCCAGCACCTTGCCTTTAAGGGTGGCGGCCAGCAGCTCCCCGCGCCCGCCCGCGCCGCCCGCCAGGCCGTACACGTTGCTCTGCGAC